AGGAAGATGGGGTAGCCTACTTCCGTAGTGATACTGCCTCAGAAACCCAAGGAAGGGTCACTATGTCAACAGCACATAACAACAACAACAACAATGCTGATTTAAAGGAGCTCTGGTGACGCAGTGCCTAAGTCATTTGACTGCTAACCAGAAGGTTGGAGGTTCCAACCTACCAGCTGCTCTGCAGAAGGAAGATGGAACAATACATTCCTATAAAGATTTACCACCTCGGAAACCAGTGGGGGTCGCTATGAGTCGGGATTGACTTGATGGCAGAATTTGTTTTTTTAGTTTAATGCTGATTTTAGGAACCCTGGTGGTGCAGTGGTTAAAGCTCTCACCTCTCAACTAAATGGTTGGTGGTTTGAGCCCACCAGCTGCTCCACAGGAGAAGGATGAGGCAGTCTGCTTCTGTCAAGATCGCAGCTTGGAAACCCAAGGGGGCAGTTCTGCTTTGTCCTGGGCTGTCAGTAGGCGTCAGAATCGACTGTGGCAGTGGGCTTGGTTGGAATATTGCTGGTTTTAGAGCTGTTGAGGCTTCTTTCCCACTGTTTCCATAACCATGCTGCATTTACCTTCATCAGACATTGAATGTCTATCTTTCCACGACCTTCAGCCCTTCAAGAGCAAAAACCGTATCTTATCACTATTCCCTAGTTCCTTGCGCAGTGTTTGGTCCATACGTGGACTTACGGAACTTGAAAGTGAACTCAACTACCTATGATTAGAGGTAGACAGATAGCTGTCATCTCGAACTCACAGCAACCCATGTGGAGCAGAAGGAAGCACTGCCCACCCTTGCATCCCCACAGACACTGATGCGCATTCACTGTTGTGGCTGCTCTGTCAGTCCACCTCGCCCAGGGGCCCCCTGCCCCTCGTTGACCCTCCGCATCACGAACCCGATGTGTCTAAAGCAAGCAAGTCTGATGCTGTTCTGTTGTGAGCCATGTTTGCCATGGCTGATCTTCCATAGGAGCTCGCCAGGCCTTTGTTCATCTGAAAGCTCCGCTGAGACCTGTCCCCTTGGGGACCCTGCTGGTCTTTGAAGTGCCAGCATCACAGCAGGACACAGGCCACCACGGTATGCCACACTGACGGGTAGACCAGTGGTTTGCAAGGTCTTAATCTGAAGAGTTGATGCTTTTGAGTTGTGGTGCTGGTGAAGAATAATGAAAGTGATGTGGACTGCTAAAAGAACTAATAAATCTGTCCTGGAAGACATGCAGCCAGAATGCTCCTTGGAAGCAAGAATGGCCAGACTCCGTCTCATCTACTTTGGTCTTGTTGTCAGGAGGAACCATTCCCTGGAGAAGGACGTCATGCTTGGTAAAGTGGAGGGTCAGTGCAGGAGGAGAAGGCCCTCAATGAGACGGATTCACATAGTGGCTGCAACGATAGGTTCAGGTATAGCAGGGATCGTGAGGGTGGCACAGGACTGGGCAGTGTTTTACTCTGTTGTACATACGGTCACTGTGAGTCAGAGATGACTTGACGGCACCTGACAACAGCAACAACAATTTAGGCTGGAGATTCTGCTCTGTGGCCTGCCTTAAGGGCAGTGCATATGCAGAGCAACAAGGGGGATGAAAGAGTATGAAAAAGGATGAAGTCTGTGCTTGCCCTTCTCAGTCACCCACATGTGGGCTGCTGTTCTCTCTCCCCACATAGCAGGGTTCACATTCAAGTTCATAAAGGCAGTTGTCCAGTGTAGAACAGGAGTGCGCAGTAGGGCATTCACGCAGTGGAAGTTAGGAAGGAAAAGTCATTTCCGTGTGAATTAGTCCTTGGACAAAAGGAAGAGATGACAGTTATGGGTGTGTGTTAGTCACTCGGGAAAATCTCAGTTGCTACTGTCTAGAAAACAGCTGTTAGAATAACTCTTTCTTTTTCCTTCTCAGGATTTGACGGGATCTGAACTCTATACCCAGGCAGCCGACCTCTTACATCCTGTTGTTTATACTACTGCTGTGATTCTTCTCTTATGTCTCTCAGCCGTCATCGTCAGTTACGTATACCATCACAGGTAAGAAGTACACTTAGACGTGTATCCATCTGTGAACATCAGAGGGGTTTCTTTCACGTTTGATTAGGATAAAACATGATATAGTACCATCCAGAGTAAGAACTGTTACTTTAAAATACACACAAGCCTGCTTCATTTCGTGCCCTTTGGAGCTTGAGTAATTAACACATGAGATGGTCAGTTCATCTTTGAATGTAGCTGTCAGTTTGCTGGGCTTGGGGGTTTCCTGCTCCACTTACAGACATGCTGCTGCCATGAAGATCCATTTTGTCAGGCCCAGTATTAACAATAAACAATGAACAATGAGTATTTGAAAATAAGTGATTATTCATATTTATTATCGATCAACATGGTTCCTCAGCATAACGATTACTCACTGTTGAGTTGGAGTCCTTGAGTGGCACAAAGTGTGCAGCACTCACTTGGCAACTGACAAGTTGGCACTTCATCTGCCCAGAGTTGCTTTGGAAGAAAGAGCTGGCTTCCACTTCTGAAAATTCAGCAGTGTACACCCTGTGGAGCACAGTTCTACTCTGACACGTGGCGTCAGTAAGAATTGGAATCAGCTTGAGAGCAACTGGTTTTTAACTATTGAGCTATTGCCATTTGACTTCAGTATCTGGAAGAGAACATAGGGTGGGGGTATGTTTGAGAGGTTGAGTGGTACTGAACAGGAGCAACGTAATGTGAGGTTGACTTAGAAGTGTGTTACCTGCACAGACAAGGTGATGTCTCAGTTTCAGCACCAGACTGTGTTGTTATTTTTATTTTATATGATGTTTTGCCTCTTGTGGTACTCTTTAATTTATAGATGACATTTTTAAGAAAGTTTGTGGCATTTAAGTGTGGAATATGATTTTTGGTAATTGGAGGCAAAGCTACAGAAACTTTTACCTTATGGCAGGAAATAATTTGCTAAGACGAAAAGAATTTGCTAAGCAGAGATTGACTTTGCAAAACGGTTTTGCTAGATTGTCTTCTCCTTTTTAAGCTGGACAGATAGGCTGTCTCTTGACATTCAGTTAGGAAACAAAAGATTTTGTTTTAGACAAAATAGAGAAGCAGAACGTGAACATTTCCTTAGGAAAGGCAAACAAAATGCTCTGGGCATTTAGACCATGGTAGTGTGTCAGGAGCTCTGGGAGCATAATGGTTAAAGCATTTGGCTGTTGACCAAAAGGTCGGTGGTTCAAACCCACCAGCCAGCTCTGCAGGAGAAAGATGAGGCAGTCTGCCTCCTTGAAGATAAACAGTCTTGGAAACCATATTGAGCAGTTCTGTTCTGTCCTAAAGGATCACTGTGAGTCAGAATCAACTCAGTGGCAATGGGTTAGAGCTTTTTTTATCTTCCCCCTAGTATGTCAGAGAAAGTAACCATCGGCATATTGCTGAGTTCTCTAGGAAGAAGCAAGTCACCAATAGTCAGAAGACAGTGTCATGAACAAAATCTGCTGTGTTTCTCATTACTGAGAATTTGTTTGGTTTTAGCAGGTGCCTTAGTTCTGTGAATTACTTTTCCTTTTTCGTGTATAAGTTTAAATGTTAAAAAAATTGTATTGAGTTAAAAGATTTCTCAAGTTCTTTGTATGTGTACGTGTTTGTGTCTGTGTATATTTTTAAAATAAAATCTCTACATATGAACCATTTTACTGTGACCTTTCATGAAGTTGAAATTGTTAACTTGTAGACAACCATTGCTAATATCATGCTTCAAATTTTAATATTTTGCCTTTTTTGTTGTTGTTGTTTTAACAGTTTGATTAGAATCAGTCTAAAGAGCTGGCATATGCTTGTGAACTTGTGTTTTCATATTCTCCTGACCTGTGTGGTCTTTGTGGGAGGCATAACACAAACCAGAAACGTCAGCGTCTGCCAAGCAGTAAGTCAATGCAAAACTGAAATGTAAAAAAATATTTGTAGTAGAGTATAATTTCTTAATTTCCATTCAAGGAGCTCTGGTGGCATAGTGCCTAAGGCATTTGACTGCTAACCAGAAGGCTGGTAGTTTAAACCCACCAGCTACTCCTTGGAAGGAATGTTGGGCAATCTACTTCTATAGTGATACCATCTCAGAAACCCAAGGAGGGGTCGCTATGCGTCAGATCCGACTCCACAGCAGTGGGTTTGGTTTTTTTTGGTTTGGTGGCATAGTGTGTAAGGCATATGATTGCTAACCAGAAGGTCAGCTGTTCAAACCCACCAGCTGCTCCGTGGGAGTAAAATGAAGCAGTCTGCTTCCATAAAGGT